TTTTTTTTTTTTTTTTGCATACATGATCAAAAGATGATCAATCTTTTTTTATTATTTGTAGAGCCTATAGCTGACTTTAGCCTATCTGAGAATGCTGCTACATCATCATCTGTTGTTGCACTGAGTTACACAGAAAACAGTGGCATATTTGATTATTTTCTGTTTTGTCTGGATGGCCCTACTTGCAATATTACACAAAGAAAGTCTAAGACAGATGCCCAAAGAGTTGTCCAGTTCAACGGGAGTGGAGTTGTAGCAGGGGACTTGTATACTATTCAGGCACAGACAGTCAGTGCTGACCAGCATAGTGAATCCAAGCAGATAAAAATCAGAACAAGTGAGTTTTTTAAGAAGAACTACTTTTTAACATAAATTTATTTGTCAGCATTAATTTTCATGAAAGTGAATATTTAATGAACTCATTATAGAATACTTTTATATAATAATTTCAGTCATTTCCTAGATATTTTTGTATTTTTAAATATCAGTTAAAAGAAAAGATTTTGATTGCAATAATTTTTTTCATGTTTTTCATGTATTTCAGACCCCAATGGGGTTGAACAGTTACACAGCATACCAGGAGCTAATATGGTTGAGATTTCTTGGCAGAAACCAGAAGGGACAGTCAGTGGCTATAGAGTCTTGCTATTCTTGGACAGCACTCTGGTTGAGAATGCAACCTTACCATCAGATACCAATACAGTAGTTGTGAACAACCTCACTTCATACAAGCAGTACATATACAGAGTATATACAGTGAGCGGTATTGAGAAAGAAAAAGAGAGCAATCCAGTGGTTGGAACTTTTAACACTTCTGTGTCAGGTTAGTGTTTATGATTGATTGTTTGTGAATATATGATACAAAAAGATCTGAAGTTTATTTATACTGGACTGGTTGTAAGATGATTTGTACTGTAGCCTATCAGTTAGGCCTTTTACTAATTATCACATTGTGTTTTTCAGTGCCAAGTGCAGTACTTAATTTTGAGGTTGTCCCTGGTTCACTCAAGCCTTATGAAGTTGCTTTGAGATGGGATATGCCTACAAATCCCAATGGCATACTACAAGAGTACCTCATCAGTTATGTGGGAGTTAAGAATGTGAGTACACTAATTTGCCGATACTGAATAAATTATTAATTTTTTTGTTTTTTAGTTGCTTTGCAAAACCATATATAGAAATAAACATGATAATTTAACATAATAAAATTTGTATCTTTGTGTATGTCTTTTTATGTCATTGTAGTATAAGTTGCCCTTTACCATTTTTAAGGCCCAGTCACAATGTCGGCGATCTGTCGGGGATTAGTTTTGGCCGGGGGTCGTCGTAGAAAATAAAGAATCCTTGAACAATCCTAGCAATAATCCTAATAAAAGTGGAGCAGTCACATTGTCTGAGATTTTTTCAAGGATTTTGACCCGGTTTTGTCGAAAAATCGTGGGATTAGCCTCCGATTGCATCGGAGGCGATCGGAGACGATATCTGCGAGCGTCTTTTCTCGTAATTTTTTCCCCCTGGGTATATGTGGTTATATATGGGTATGTATTCGGAGGACGCCTCCGATTTTATCGGAGGGCATCGTAGGTCATTGGAGATAGTGTCTGGGATGCCCAAAATGGGTGAAAAATCTTGCGAGCAATCTTAAAATTTTAAGTTCAAAGTTGGGGACCGCGACGGGTGTGGCGATGTCTAAAAAATCTGCGACAACCCGCAGGCGTCCGGAGAGCGCCTCCGACGGGTGCAAAATCGTGAGATCTGTCTCAAGATTTTGTTAAAATTTCCCGGGTTTTACCCATCCCCGACGCATCGCAACTGATTTGTGACTGGGCCTTTACTTATCTCTCTAGCAGAGCAATTTACCTGACATAGTAACATACTTACCTTAACCCATGTAGCTAAAGTTATAAAGTTATATGTCCTTTTCAGGTCAGTTCTGTTGATATATTGATATATCCTTGATGAATATACTGATATTTATATTTATCTAATATATAATATATATTATATTGTTTTGCAAAAGAGTCTAATTCTTCATCTATTTTTCCTGCAGACTGTCATGACTGTCATGCAGAATGTGAGCATAACCAACACATCAGTTCGTACCACAACCATCTCTCAACTGCAGGCAGGTTATACATATACCTTTAAGGTATGGATAAGTTGCTCAGAAAAAAAGCTAACATTATAGTTAAGTGCTTCTTGTGTCATTTCTGAAGGTTGCATCAAAGGGGCATAGGTTGAAGTTGATCAAATGTGAAAAAAGATAATATGACTAATATTCAATGATTAAGAAATTCAGTTATTATTTGTTGATGAAAAAGTCAGAATTTTGAGGTTGAACCCCCAACTCTTCCATCAAACTTTTAACTTTAATTAAATGTAGCAAACTGGGAATTTTGTTTGTCCTCATTTTATTAAAGATGTTTACTAGTGTTTTGGCATATTTGCTTACAGATCCGTGCAAAGACAAGTGAAGGCTATGGACCAGAGGTGAATATACATCTACTTATGCCAGTTTTAGGTAAGAGCAATTTTTCTTCTTTTATCTCCACTGTTTACTTTTATCAATGTTCTGTTTGTTAAATGATGCACAGAACTTTGTTCCAGTTTCAGGATATTGTAACCCTTTATTATCATCCAGATAACCAAAAGGGAAGTTTGGCATAGTCAAATGTTAATTTATGGCGACAGTCTAATACTACACAAATTTGCTTGTGGCCTATGATTCGATGCTACATGATTTTTCAGCATATCTCTTTAGCCTCGGATTCAGTGCTGCATCTATTGTGATCTGACACCATGTTCAATCACAGACGGGGGTTTCATTTAAGTACACGCCTCAGCGTTTAACCACGCGAGCGGTTACTGTTTTGGCTTACACAGTTTTGGCTTACATTTCGGCTTGCACATTTTCGGCTTACTCAGTTTTGACTTACTCAGTTTTTGCTTACTCAGTTTTGGGTTACGGTTGGCCTTTTTGCAACCCCACAATTTGAAATGTGTGCACTATTTGTTTGGAATTATATTTTAAATGTAGATACTTCAGGCACCTATACATTATATTTATTTTTATTAATGGGACCTCAAATAAATGCATCCATCATCGGCCAAATTTCAAACATCACACTTGAGTTTGTTCCATTCTTTGAAATGACATATCCTATTACTTACATCAGCTTAGATCAAGGAGACATAAATGAGGTTTTTCCCGCATCTAATTATTCAATAATGCATCTATCTTTGTGCTAATTTTTAACAATAAAATCTCCTCGAAAATATAAAATGTCAGCGTTTATATTTCTTGTTGCAATGTATAACAATAGGCAACTCAAAGCTTTAATTGTTAACACCTTTCTATTTTGAGGTGAGATAGCAATGGGTATTGGGCTTAACTTCCCTGAACAAGATCATGAATATTGGCAGAGTCGACCAAAAGTTAAATCTACAATCCCATGCTGTCATTTTGGTTTAAATGATTTTTTTTATCGAGTTATGAGGCCCTAATAACTGTTTTTTATGAAACGAAGGCATTATTTTGCTTTATCAAATAAAATCTTAACTAAGGCTTTAAAGAAAAATCGCTGCCAGGGTTTTTTGGAGTATTAAGTGGTGTCATTAAATTGGTGTTAAAATAGTGTTCATTGGTGCTCAGGTAGGGAGAAATTTGAGAAACTGATTTTTCAATTTTTACCACAAAATCGCAATTATGATGTTACCTGTAAGCTGAAATGTGTGAAAATGTTAATGAATTTAGTCACTTAATAACAAAGATTTGTCTGTTATCCAAAAGAATATATGTAAGGCAGTAAATATGGAGTTTTTGGCAAAGGGTAGCATTATCCTTAAATGACCTCTTTTTCAATTATTTAACTCTAGTGGATATCATGTTCCAGATTCTTTGACACATATATAATGCACCTTTGTTGTTAAGGACATGTATTTTTTCATAACTGCTAATTAAGACTTTGGGCTCAATTGAAGTTTGAATTTGTTTTGGCAGCTCCAGCATTTGATGAAACAGTGCCAGAAATCCAGAGGACTCCCAGAAAACCAGATCAAGAGGAACCACAGACTACATCTTTGGTGGTAGAATTCAGCAATGTTTTCACAGAGCGAAATGGAGAAATCATTGGTTACACTGTCATTGTTGTTGAGACATCCCCTAACAATGATTCTGTTATTGTGGTTGGAGCAGATCTCCCAACTTGGAAAGAAGCTCAATACACCACCGATGACAAATGGCTACCTTATGAAGCATTTGGGCCCTGTGAATTGTTTGATGCAACGAGCAATAATTTATGTTCAAACATCAAAAGAACAATAGTGAAACGTGCCACCACATCTGAGTCAAGGGTTGTACAGGTTAAAATAGGAACAGATAACTGTAACAGTTTACCAGCTAATACATATTGTAATGGACCACTAAAACCAAACACACACTACAGGTTTAGTCTCCGAGCTAAGACAGAAAATGGACTTTATGCAGATACTCCCTTTTCGAAAGTTATCGCTACAAGTAAGTACACTAAGATTGTGTACATGTTGCATAATTTAGATAGAGAGAGAAAGATGGTGAACATATATATATATATATATATATATATATATATATATATATATATATATATATATATATATATATATGTATGTATGTATGTATGTATGTATATATGTATGTATGTATGTATTGCTCTAAGTTGCTTTCATTATTATGTATAGATTCATACTATTTAAAATTGAAAAAGTGGTGTCACATCACACAACTCATGTTTTACCTGATTTCCAAAGAGATAATGATTGGTTTTAGAATGGTGACATAGTTGAAGACAAGTTTTGTAATATTTATCCTTGTATATATTGAATGTGAAATGTCTTTTACTTCATATAAAAATGTTTTATGGACATTTTTCAGGGAATTAAGTTTTGCTAGTCATAGAATAAATTGTGATATAGAGTGTGCTGCTTTCCTGCTTATTGCATTGAAAACTGCTTTCATTCACTGCATGTATTCTTATTTTATACAATTAATTGTAGAAGACTTGTGAGAACATGTTTTCCAAAAAGAATTGAAAATAATATTGACACATCTGTCAGTATATTAACTGAAGTATGCAATTAAGATACAATTAATAAATCATTTTCATGATAAAGGAACTTGAATGAGAGGTGAAATAATCTTCATGTTTTCCAGATAAGAAACCAGACTCCCCCTCAGATGTTGTGGCAGTAGTAGTATCCATCTTAGTAGTCATTCTCCTGGTTGGCGTGCTGATAGGGGTGCTGATCTATTTACGACGAAGAGGGATAATCTGCAAAGAGAAGGATGAGGATGAAATGACTGGAAGTTCTAAATTATCAATGTCTTCCCTGAGACATAGCTTACGCAGATTGTCCCATCGTGGAAAGCGATCTGCTGATAAAGCTAGGTATATTAAAAACCTCTGTGTAAACTGATTTTTTTTCATTCCAGCATTCATATTATATTTGTTCAGGCTTAACCTGTCACCCATGAGAAGTTTTGGCATATGATAATGTCATGGAACTTTATCAGTTTAAATTTCAAAAAATTTGCTAATCTTCTGTGTAAGACACATCCAGAGACTCTTGGTTGAAATGAACACAGGATGTTCTTGACAAAGGATAACATGACTATCCAATCTCAGGGGTGGATGGAAGCCCTCTTCTGGAAGACGGTCAGAATTTTTGAAGCTTACATTGACGGACATCTAATTTTTTCTGTTTGAAGATTGTAAAAAATGGAGGATAGATCAACAAAGATAATTTGGAAGACTGTCAAAAAATACCTCTGGATCCATCCCTGAATCTTTTCTGTTTGAAACAGGACATGGATGTCAAACATGTTATGACTTACTTTTACATTACAGCCACTTGGTGAGACTTGAAGAATTTCCTGACTTTGTGAAGATGATGTCTAAAGACAGTGACTTTGGATATTCTGAAGAATATGAGGTAAGGTTGATATTGCTGGACGCTCTGTTGTTGCCCTAGTAAGATTTCAGAATATGTTCCAGCTCTTTATTATTCAATACAAATTTGCTTGGACTGTCACATTTACTTTGGTTTTTATGTTCCTTTTTTACAACATCTTTGCACCTACTAACCCCTTTTACATATTTTTGGACATTTTAGTAACAACTTTTTTTACAATTTTATCTTTAAAGGGACTGTTAGCAGGGTTTTTATGTGACTTATACTGATGCTGTCAAAGCCATGGAAACAATTGGTGAAACAAAACATGAGTAATTCCTTTAGCTATCAAAACTAATTAAAAGCGCTTCACACCTCAATTATTACAACACCAGTCAAAAGTTGTTGATTCCAGATTTTTCCCTACCAAAGTCCTGTTTTGGTCCCTTTAAGCTTTCTGAAAGCATTACTCATTATGTTAATTTATTTGTAATTTGAATTTGTTTTTTTTTGTGTGACACTGGTTTTTCCAATCTTCTATCATTTTTAATAGTCCCTACAAGATCAGTTAAGGGTGGGTATTATTACGTGTTTACAAGGCACTCATGTTATTTTATCTGTCCACATTAAGAGCACTGCCTTAATATATCATTTCTGCCATCAGTTGTGTTATATTTAATATATTTTAAGCTTTGTTTTCAGACAAGTATTTAATCCATCTTTGAAGGCATTACTTTTTATGTGCGCATCATGATGTCACTTGTTTGCACTGGACCCTTCTGAACTAAACATTGCTTAACAATAATTTAATTCTTCATCCCTTCATATCACAAAATGACATAGATAAAAGTTATTTAGATTTATTTGTTTTCCCAATTATGAAGTTCACAAGGTGTCTTTTTACTATCCTGACAGCTAAACTTGACCTTTTGGATCAGTGGACACATTCAATATGCTTGGTCATCCTTTAATGTGCCAATGTGAAATATCTTAAACATAATATGTTGTGATTTATGTTTAATCTTAATAAGTTACAGACCTCTTTTAAGCTTCATTTACATATGGACAACTTTTTCCTTTAATTTCTTATAGATGAAGTCATTGCAGATTGACTTTGTTTCCCTCTACTGTACTTCTCATTCTGTCTTACCTTAATTCTTACGCTATTTTTCAAAAGGGTGTGCCACTGACTTCTGTTTTGAGTGCATGCATTGTTAGCATGTGTTCATCAATTTTTATGGTGATACAAGAATTCATTGGTGATACAAGAATTTATTGGTATCTTTTTTACGTCAGATTGTTTTACAGGAATTTAATATAAGCAGTAAGTTTAGAAGACTCATTGTAATAGGCAGGCTTGTGTGAGAATATACAATGTGAATTTTTTTAGCAAACAAATTAAGCACCATTTTTAAGTAAGGAACATTTGGCATTAAAATTAATAAATATTGGAGTATGATAAACAATAAACATAAAGCATATTGTTGCCATTTTCTAGGACTTGAAAGAAGTTGGCAGAAACCAACCTTGGGATGAAGCAGAAATTCCACACAACCGTGGAAAAAATAGGTTCACCAACATTCTCCCTTATGATCATTCAAGAGTGAAGCTTCTGCCAACAGATGATGAAGATGGTTCAGATTATATTAATGCTAACTACATGCCTGTATGTCAATGTTTATATCAGCCTGTGTAGTGCTACTCAGTGCAGTGGTTTGTTTTGATGATTAAGTTAATTTAAATTTAAGTAACATTGAATTAAAATTCATCTGACATTTCCCTTTGGTTATATTAATTTAAATTATTTTGGTTTATCAGCTGATTAAGATATTAAGTCTTGAAAAGTTCAATTTACATAATATTAAAAACAGTGCCGTTTAGACTTAATGTTAACTTTTGTTTTTCATGATTCAAAGTCTATTGTATGTGATGCAATCTCTATCAATGTCTGAAAAAAAAACTAATAGATGTTTTGAATGGTTGGTTTCAGGGCTTCTCCTCAATGCGTGAGTACATAGTGACCCAGGGCCCACTGCCCTCTACCGTGGATGACTTCTGGAGAATGGTGTGGGAGCAGAACTGCAGAGCCATTGTTATGTTGACAAAATGTGTGGAGAAAGGAAGGGTATGTGACAAGGCACTGGGAATGAAACTATCATCTCTTGTAGAATAAAATTGTGTTTCAAAGACTGATATTATCCTGCCTACACTAGTAGTGTATTTTCTTTCTCAAACTTGAAATAAGAGTTTTTTTCCTATTTTGGTATAATACAAAATACACCTTTGTATGTGGGAGTATATCGAAAAGCAGCAAAAAGTTGTATAAATCTTATCTAAAAATTAATAAATCTTAAGGCACACCACTCTTGTTGATAGTAAAGGGGTAGAGGTCTAATCCATGTCTTTTCATTGCTACACATTCCTTTATAAGGGCAATTAGAAGTGATGTTTTGTAAGTTGTTGATGATCTGCCTCTATTATTGTGCATTTTTGTCATCGTTGCAATCTAGATGTAACTTTGCAGGAGAAGTGTCACCAGTACTGGCCCAGTGACTCTGAGCCAGCCATGTATGGGGACTTGCAGGTGACAATACTGAATGAGACCAGAACACCAGAGTGGAACATTTCTGAGTTTAAAATAGCAAAGGTAAGGTTTAATGTGCCATTTAACATTTTGTAAAAGAAGAAACATGATTCAAAAATATATAGTGCCCTTTTACAAAAGGAAGCAATATTTCAGTAATTTAATGGATGAATGAAAAACACCCCAAACTCTGAATTTTAATTTCTCAAAAAGTAATTACTTTGATTAAATGAAATTTCAAGAAATAAACTGCCACATGATATTGTCTCTTGTGCTTGGATCTTCTGACTATCTTTTTAACAGACCTCTGAAGTTTTTACAATCCATTCAGTGAGAACTTTCAATAACATTTTCAGGGAGAACAGGCACGAAACATTCGCCACTTCCACTACACTGCCTGGCCAGATTTTGGTGTACCGACCAGACCACAGTCTCTCATCAAATTTGTTAGAACAGTGAGAGAAAAATTGCCCAAAGAAGGAGGTCCTATTGTAGTTCACTGCAGGTAGGGACTGGGGTAAAGTTCAGGCATGCTTTTGTGTGTGTGTGTGTGTGTGTGTGTGTGTGTGTGTGTGTGTGTGTGTGTGTGTGTGTGTGTGTGTGTGTGTGTGTGTGTGTGTGTGTGTGTGTGTGTGTGTGTGTGAGAGAGAGAGAGAGAGAGATGAATGTGGCATTTACTTTTCTAAATATTTTCTTCAAGCAGTAATAGTTGTTTTTTTTTTATAATGCTGATGCAAAAGAATCCATTTTTGCATTTTTATTTTAGTGCTGGTGTTGGCAGGTCTGGCACCTTCATTGTATTAGATCGCTTAATGCAGCACATCAAAGACCATGACTCTGTAGATATATATGGTGTGGTGCACCAAATGAGAGGATTTAGAGTGTACATGGTACAGACTGAGGTAGGCAAAGAAAGATGGCCTGTTATTTACTCATTATTTTGAAAAAAAAAACTTATTTATTATACATTTTCCCTGAACAGTGTAGTGTTAGTTTCATTGAAAAAGATTAGTAGAAAATTCTTGAAATCAAATTTGGTTAAAAATCTTATCTTTGGTTATAAGTAAAAAAATGAATAAATCAAAATCAACCAAAATTGTTTTTTCTAAATGCATGAATTATTAATGTATTACTGTTTATGATATTCAAATTACCTTTTTGAAGTTTGTGGGAATATTTAGTTTTGACTTCTTTCCTAAACATGACTTACACAATATTTTGAAATTTTAATTTGTTTCAAAGCAAGGTAACAAGAAAGTAGGAGATGTGCGTTGTCAACTGCAAGGGTCTTAAATTGTTTATCATTTTATTTTCAGGCCCAGTATATCTGTATTCACCAGTGCTTACTCTGTGTATTAGAGGGCCGGGAAGATGAAGACATGAATTACTCAGAAGGAATGTCAAATATGGGCTTTGAAGGTAACATGATTTAATGCACATCACATTTAGGATAATGTTGGTTAATGTTTTTGCATGTGGTAATGGTCCTGTGATATTCTTTAATCTTCACTTACTTGCATGTTTGCTACATGTAGTTGTCAGCAGGTATTTGTGTTCTGTGAACCCAATATTTATTGTTTAATGTTGAGAATTGTTTTGTGGTAAATTATTAACAAAGTGCCCTTTTTGTAAAATATTTGGTAATAGCAGTAAAGGTGGCTCTTGTAAAAAGACTAGTATTTCAAATATTTATAGTTATATATATTTTTGAAATGTATGGACGTTTCTAAGCAGGATTCCAACCAATAGGTGTGCAGTTTTTACTCTCTTAATGTTTGTCAGTTTTTGCATATTTCAAATCCATTTGATCCTATTGGCTGTAAAACCCACTAGGTTTAAAGAAGTACAGTGTAAGATTTCCCCACAAAAAAAAATGAAACTTAATGAATTTGCCTGGGGTAAAGGGCATTTTTCTAACTAACCAACCTTTGATTCTCCTTGCCTGACACTCACCATAACTCTGTAACAATCTGGAAAAATTGAAAAGTCTTCAACCCATGCTTAAGTGTGTGTTTTTCAAATTCTGCCATCCATTAAAGTTCAGTGCTTGCACTGGATTCTGGAAGGCATGACATTCAAAACTGCCAAGATGGTTGCCAGGTGGCAGGGTTGGTCAGGAGATGATAGATAAGAATTTTTTCAGAGACATTCATGGTATTTATCTGTAATGATGTTCAAAAAGTATAACATGTCCTTAGATATGTTAAACAAGAAGGGCTTCCTATACTTAACATGTATTTAAGATCTTATACATTTGTGCCTTTAAGTTAATAAATATGCTATAAGTATCAGTGTCTAAGTACTTGAGGAAATACCTTGGCACATGATTGTATTTATTTGGTATATTCAAACAGGTACTAAATTAATACCACCAACTTCCCCCATTGAGAGTGCTCCATTAATTCCAGAAAAAGGTCAAGGTAAAGGTGCAGAAGCTTATACTTAGAGCAAAGGACTTGTGCACCTCCCTTACATGCTAATTGATTTATTAACAACATTGTGTGATTTTGTCTCACATGAAATATTAGGCACACTCTTTATGATAGTAATATCCTTCATACAATTTCTGGACCTTGTACCTCATTCTCATTCTTTCTGCTTTTTTGCAGTAGTTCTTAGATGTCTCAGCCTTAACTGCATAGCTATATTTATGAAGTTATTGCATATTAATCATCTATTATAAATTGGAAAGTGCAACTTGATTTTGATCGGCAATGTCCATCCTTTTTCATTTTGAAATACAAACCATCTAAATCATCTAATATTTCATTTTGTATGCAAGGCAAGAAAAAATTTAAGCATTTTATGTGTATACTTGATAAAACTGCAAAATTTAAATCATATGAATGTGATGATATACAGGAAAAATCTGATAACATTTCCACTGATGACATTTGTGGTGATATTCATATCATGGAAATCATGATCTAGATTCTGAAGTATGTGCATGTTATCCCGTAACAAATGAGTTTGCTTTAGCCTGGACCCATCATATACATTTTAAGGCTTTGTTAGTGAGTATGTGAAAAGTGAAGAAGTAAATTGTAATGGTAATGATATATGTTATCTAGATAAATATTGCTTCACCATATATTCCATTATAGTGCATAATTCTAAAAGTTATCAAAGTAAAATAGGTTATAGTTTTTCATCTAATTGAATATGAAAGTTACATATCTTATCAAATGGTGCAATGTTAGCAATAGAATAACTGAAAGTGGAACAGGTGGATCTGTATATATTTTTTGAATGAGATGCTGCTTCTTTTTTTCAATGAAAATTGCAGTAGTATGCTTTGAATGCCATGTAAATATTTAAAACATTTGCTCAAAACATGAAAACCCTTTAGAAGAATAAGCCCAACCCATCAGTTCCCCTGTTAAATGCCTCAAGTAGACAATTAATTTAGGTGGCTAGATATATGCTCAATCATATTAAATAATTATTTAGATAATTATTTCAATTAACACTAGGAGAACTTGACAGCATCAATTTTCCATTTACTTATATGTTGATTAACCTGCATGCTTCATGTCTACACCTAGGTCTGCAGTGACCCCTAGATTACATTTGCTATGGAGGCATATGATGAAATCATATACAATTTTTCTACGATAATGCTATGGCATATGGGTTTACGATTTCAAAAATTTGTCACAAGTTTTAGATTGGCATAATTGTAGAGGCTATGGGGGTCGTGAATCTGTAAAATTTTGTAAAATTTTAGCACAACTACCATCTGCCACACGAGAAAGAGATTTTTGGGAGTATACTAGCACTGCACGGGGATCATATGGCAAATGCAATTTTGGCTTGAGCTTAATTCAGGCCTACCCAAATACCAGACACGGCACAGAAGGATCCAGAATTCACTGTAGATCAGATCACGCCATAGGTTTTCAAGGTGTACGTGTATCAGTACACGCTTCAAAGTATCAGATGCGGGACCCTCTTGCCTGGTATGCATACTGCGTCTGATACTTTGAAGCGCGTACTGATACTTCGAAGCGCGTACTGATACACACCTTGAAAGCCGATAGTGCCACGTCTGGTAGTTGGGTAGGTCTGTTAATTTTTATATAATAACTAATTACTAAAACCAAAATATTCCCTCTGTGTTCTCTCTTTATTTGTGTTTTGTTTATATTTATCAGTACATTTTGTTTCTGTCTCACGATATGCTAACTTTCAATCCACTGTAGATTCTAACTCCATTCACAATAGTAGCTCTGGTGAGGAGGAGGAGGAGGTTGAGGACGGTGAGTAAAATTTTCAGACATGGGGAAACTATCTGTCCAACTGATCATGACCACTTGAAATGCCAGAGGACCTGCAAGATTTATAAGGTCACAGGTCCTCTGCACTGGCAAGGCTTATGTAAAAATATAATACATTTATAGTAAATTGCATGTAAACCTTTACTGGCGGAAATAATATACTTAGTTTGGATGAGCTTAGAATTGGGAGGACCTGCAGATTTCTTGAAGTGTAGGATCTTCCGTAAAGTTTTCCCTATGTCTGGTAAAATGATTGAAACATTCAGAGAGCTGTTAGCTCAGTACAAATGCCATTCAGCTCAATGTTTGTGTCAATTGTGTATGATGGGTGTTTTTTCTTTCAAATTTGTTTTGATTTGGGACGTTATTAGAAACTTTTACATAGTTCATTGAAAAATGATCTATGTAAAACATAAAAAAATCTTAACTGTTTTAATTAAGGTATTCATTGTTTTAGAAACAGTAAAGACCCATAAAAATGTATACTTCCTACCACATTGTTGGTTATTTTCTTTTCAGTATTTTAGTATATACATTGCTTTGACTTTTGTAAAATCCTTTTATTAGTACAGGTTCTCAATTCTTGTTATTTGAATATTTGACTGTAAAGTAAAGCAGTGCTCACATTAACAGTTGCTTATGTATCAGTTGCAAATTGTTTAGTATCATTAATATTGTAATTGGTTTCCTTTGCCTTTCAGATGATGAAGGAATCACTGTTGAGGTGACATAGATGAGGTGCTGAAAATACATGGAGGATTGGGACTTTTTAGGATGATTGTCATCTAGCATTTTATTTATTTACTCAAGCTGCATGAATGCAGCATCCGGATGTAAGGGATAATTTGACAGCTATGTATTCCTGTTCAGTGAGATGTTATTTAAACGCTAGCAAATAGAATTTTACTTTTGCTAGCTTGTAGATATATGTATTGATATTCATCTTATGCAACTCTATTGATTTTGATAATAGAGATCATTCCACAAACCCTACAGATCAGATGGATCTCATTGTTTCTGTATGTATCTGTATGTGATCTGAAGGCAAAATGCAGTAACTGGGACCAACTGAAGTAAGCATCAAACTAAATGGACAAAAAGATCTGAAGTTTGTGTCCGAGTAGAAATATCAAGATTTTAAAGTTTGATGCACATAAAAGAATCTTAGGCTTGAGAAGGTAAGAACCATAATATATTTCAACTTGGACATTTTCGAGATTGATAAAAGAACAAATGTTATCTAAGTTTTTGGCATGTACTTGAATAATTTAAAAAGGCATATATATATTTTTTTATATAAGTATTTTTCTATTTATGAAGAGAAATTTCTTCTATTAGTCAAATTTTGAAGGAAAAATAATTTGGCTTTTGAATCATGTTCATTATTTATAAAATTTCTATCATACTACAGTAGTACTGCCTATATGTCTATCCACTAGAAAAATATCTACACGAGAAAAATAGCATTGTTAATCAGTTTTTAATCCTGTTATTGACCATGTACTGTTGTGGAATGCACACTTAATTTGAAAGTCAACATATAGACCATGAACTATGGTATACTAGTAAGTGATGGGGTAAAGTTAATTTTTTTTATCTATTATTATTATAATTATTATTAGTCATGTTTGTAAAGTTTTCATATTTTTCAATTTGGGGACCTAGTTAACAACGAATGCATGCATTTTGAGAAAGGAAACCTTGTAACTGATAGTTGTAATGTTAAGACAATTGTTTGATGTATCATCAGGTCATGTTAAGGTAACATTATATTGTGTATATATGATTATGGATGGTGGATAATTCTTTAATGGTACAAGCGTTACCTATAGTATAATGATAGATGCAAACATATTGTTTTTGTTGTGTTTGAAAGGTCAAAGACAAGATATTTTTATATGGACATGCTCTTGTCAAGATTTCCATTGTCTTATTCAGGAAGTTGCATAGTTAGTGATATATTACCAGAAACATTTTGCTCCATATTCGTTTTTTTTTTTTTTTCTTATGATTAATTATCTGTATTCAATTGTTAATCATTATTATTCAGACAATTTGTTTTATTGAAGTCCACATCTTACTTAAAAGACTTCAATTTTGTGCTTAGGGAGAGAAGTAAAATAATTTTGGAAATGATTGAATTATTTTGCTTAAGAATTACACTTGGTCTAGATTACAGACTCACTCCCTTATTGTGCAGCTTCAGTTTCACTCAAAAAGACAACAGATTTCATGTCTACCATGAAGCAAAAGGAATCATGAAAGTCCAGTGTAATGCCCACCAGTATTTTGTTTTAAATCAGTGGAACTTAACCATATGGAGACAGTTAAAGGTGTTCATACTTAACTACATATTGTCAACTAAGAATGTGTGTAAGGACTGACCATACATTTTTATTTCAGTAAGTTCTACTTATTGAGCTATATTTTGTTTTTTCAAGCACATTTGATACTATTATTGAAATTGTCAGAAGTACTTATTCCAGAAAAAAATCTCTGTACCTAAAGTGGAGTATGTTTTATATTCTTTTGTATATTCACAAATATATGTATTATGACTATTGTTGGTATTCTAGTTAATTATATACAATCAACATTCCTATTTCTTGGTAGGTATGTTTTTTCTCCTTTGATATCAATTTTACTACAGCACTTCAGTGTGAAATGTTAAGTATGCTTTCAATTCATTCACATGGTGTGTGTGTGTGTGTGTGTGTGTGTGTGTTCGGTGTGTGTGTGTGAGAGAGAGGAAAAAAAGACACAGCTTTGCTCCCATATGTAATTCATAGATTTTGGTCTTCGCATTCTCACTAAACAATTGACTGTGACAGATTGAGCATGCCTTCCTAGTCAGTATTTGTAATGGATATCAAAATCAAGTGAGCCTTTGACCCGAAGCTAGAAGCAAGTTTTTTTTTCCTTACAAAAGTATCATTGCGTGTACATGTATCTCTTCTTCATTTTATATGAAAAACAGAATTTTCACAAATACTATATTGTTTATTGCATATTTCAAATTTAATCGCAAACAAAAGAAGTCATAATGTGTTGACCTTTTGCACTGGCATCACTTCCATTATACCGACTGATCATGAACTGAGTAGCAGGCAAGCATACTGGCCACTTGGATTTTAACCAGTCATTGCACCCTTTAAATTGTTGTGTGGGATGTATGTTAGCAGATTTGTTAGGATCTTGTACGAATTCACCTGCAAACCCTCAATAAGAAAGCATATATCACCAGAATTATCATATTTTGACAATTAAAAACAAATTCTTGTATAAAATCAAAAATAGTTTTACCACCTGACCCCAACCTTTGTATGCCCATGCTACAATATTTGCACAGGACTGTTTATTTAAGGGTTAAAGTGACAGAAAATCACAAAAACTGATTACAAAATTCATAGCCTGCGTTTATTGATGCAATATACACTCTTCCAAAAAAGTGAACAAACATTGTTATTTTGAAAAATTATCAAATAACCATGTGAGCTAAGGAAATAATTTTAACCAAATATTGAAGGATAATGCACCCACCATTATTACTTTTTGAAATTTTGCCAATAAAGGCTGTGGGAATTACAGGTGCATTTATGAATGTGGGGTCAAATACCATTTTCACAAATCATGCAAGTAGAGTGATGAAGTTTGAAATATGGGCAAGTCCTGACTATAAATAGTATTTTAGGCATAAAGTATGTAGGCTACAGTTACAATAAAGTCTTGAGGTTGCTCAGTATCAGTGAGGCCTCCACTGTTTATTGTCAAGATGCGCTCAAACTTTGTTTCTACATTAGTATTTCCATGACAAAGTAATTCCCACAGAATAGTTCTGAACTTCTTTGGTCAAGTGTATATATATATATATATATATCACACTGTAAACTGACCAAATGATATGTTAAAATATGTACAAGCACTGAAAATTCATGTTGTGGATTTTGTAGAACTACATTTAAAAATAATAAAGACAACATACATACGTATAGACAAATATACATATGTACAAATATATATTAATATATAAACCTTGATGGTGGTAACTGGGTATTTATGAAAATAAAAAAATATTTTAAAATGATACTGTTACTAAATGCAGTCATTAATATTGGAACATCCAACCCTGCAAAATTCCTATGCGTAGCTGATTACCATAATAATTTGGTAACCCCATAGTTCAGTATTCAGTCAGTCATTAAAGGTTGCCATATCAATTACATGTAAATAATGATAATCTCATATTAGATAACAATGAACACCACAGCAGCCAGAGATAATGAGTACCACATCTGTGAGACCAGGGCCCCGTAACTCGGAAAGCATCGCGTATTGTGAATTGCAATATCACATAGAGGCTACAATGTAAGAGGTTGAATAAAAAATTCACCTGTTGACATGATGTCATGTAGAGGGCAAGACTAACATGGGAGATTCCAATATGACAGGAAAGTGTCATTTCAACATATATTATAGTAGCGAAACATAGAGCAGCTGCATGTTCAGACAAAAACCAATCATTGCACATGTGCCTGAATTACCAAATACATTTCCATTAAAGGGATAACAACTCTTTGTACGAGATCTATATTTCACAATAAATACATTGTAAACAACTCGCAGAATTAGGGCTTGTCATTGGACCACATGACCTCCATAGATGGCTATCAGGCCTGCCCAACTACCAGACTCTGCACCGAATCCTGAATTAACAGGTAGATCAGATCACACTATCCATTTTCAAGGTGTGTGTCTGTGCGCTATCATACCCTGGAACAAATTTTGTGATGAGATGCACTACTTTCCAACCCCACAGAGAGTAATACCTGTCACATTGTGTACTAGGCAAGAGTGGTGTCGCGTCTGATACTTCTAAGCGTGTACTGATAAACACCTTGAAAACGAGTAGTATGGTCAGATCTACCGGTGAATTCAGGATCATTCAGTGCTGACTCTGGTAGTTGGGTAGGCCTTGTAATAATCTCTTGAGAGATTACATATACATATGGATGTATACAGATTATTACTTGAGAGATTATATCTCTTGAGAGATTATTACAGAAAAACAAACTTTTTAGAAAAAAAACAGGGACTAACTTTGAATGTGGAAATGGAATCATTAACCATTGGTAAGTATGGGAAAATTGCCGTTTACCCCAGGAAAAAACTTTTTTTTTGGACAAAATGAACAGTTGTTATCCTTTTAATCATGGCAGATCAATCACCCTTGTTAAGCACAGTTTGTTTTTTTAACAATGTAGAAAATGGTTGCAGAAAAATGGTATACAAATATGTATAATATATTATTAGTCGGAAAAAAAATTGAACTGGAGTCTGTAAGGTGCAGGCAAATACTGTTAGAAACGGCATGTTCATTGAAAAGCAAGAATAATGGACTAGTCTGCATCTTCAATGAAAAAAGAAAGAACACAAAAACTTGTACCCTAAATAAAAAACTCTAATAAATAAGTATGTGATAGCTGTACAAATATTAAAATAAAATGTGCTTTGTTCCTTTTGACAAAGAGGTCCTCCATACTTGACCTCTATAGGTTTTTGCAAGCGTTGTTGATCATCACCAAATCTTGGAGTTGCACTATCCCCATCTTGTCTGTCATGTAGCAGAAGAAAAATTCCGGAGCCTAAAATAATATGAATGACTCTCATTTCATTAGGCAAAGTAACAAAAAAGTTCTATTGTCAAGATAAGTTGAAGTTTGTGTTCTGAGACTAAATCACAAAAAACAAAAGAAAGATTTGAGAGTAAATAGGGACAAACTGCTTGAAATATACAAAAAGTTATAGCTATGGCAGATGATGTTTCATACATTTGTATAAATAATGGCACTCGTGTAACACTCACATTGGTGTGTATTTCTTTGAGGAATGCAATCTGTTCGCCAGTCAGCTTGGTAAACTTGGGCATTCTGAAACAAACAGCATGCAGAATATCACATGAAAAAGTTATTCTGTCATTTCTATTTAAACATGTTATTATCATCCAAATAAACACAACTAAAGGAGTTTACCCGGATATTGCAATTATTATCCATAAAATAGTTCATGTTCTATTACCACTTCATTTGATCCATTACCTTAAGTATAGGTCTTTAAAAACAAGGCAGCAAAGCTGTCAAATGTACACACAAAAACAGGAAATAACTATGCACAAAATAGGCTACTGTCAATTCTGATGCAAAAGTACATTCCTTAAAATGTGTTTACAGTGTTGCATATATGCTGAAAAGTGAAAAAACAGCATAACTTCTACAATAATGGCCCGATCATGCTGATTTTCGAACTTGACCTACGTTTTATGAATATTCATCAGCTCTGTAAATATTAAGCCAAAAAGTAAAACTGCCCTCCACTTATCGTGTTTACAATGAAAGTGCACGGCGTCGGCAACAGCGACAGTGACGGTGACGACAGACACAGGTGATGGCAATATGTACAGACACATCTGTACATATTTACTGTACTGTTTGAGAACGGTAAGTGACATGGTTTCTCTTAAATGGTCATCATGGGAGCAGTGTCCAAAATAGGTTTTTTTCAAATTTTGATGCAATAATACATAATGTTTAACAGCATAATGACCATCAATTTTTAATAATTAAATATTAGCATCATGGATATTCAGAAAATGTAACTAGCAAAGGTCTTCAGGCCCATGGAACTTCAAAGTCACAACTTGAAAATGCCAAAATGTAAAAAAAGACAGCACTGTTCTGAAATGTTTTTTTTTTTTTTTTTTTTTTTTCATTTTTAACAATTTTTTTAACATAAAACAAATTTAACAGGTTTTTGCCATTTTTATACGATCAACTAAGAAAATTGATGAGATGGGAAAAATATCAATACAACAGTGTTAAATGTCCAATTTCCTCCATTCTGAGATTCTGAACATAGTGAATGATTGAATCTGACAAACTGCAATGATATGAGTTTATTTCCATTTTTGACACTTTATTACACAATACA